TTACTCAAAACTCAGTCATGAATACATCGTTTTTTTAACAACATTCATCATTTTTTCCTTTCATAATATCCATTCAATCGGTCTAACGGTATATAATCTTAAGTTCTTGGATTTCCCTGGAAAATCGTTAGCACCTAGCTGTAAAATGGCGCGTTAACGCTACTTACCACTATAATGTCAAAATGAATGTTATAATAACTTCTAATCTGCGTGTCTGTTCATTAAAATGATATGACGTTAATACTTTTCAAGTATTTAAATGCTGAATGGTACCCCCTTACCTGACAAACGTGTCCTGTTCGCTTCGCGTTGTTCAACAGATGACTCTCCGACTTCTGCGCTCGGTCTCTTCTAGAACCTTCTCTCGAGTTTTCACGTGTGCGCATGCGCAAACCATGCTTTATCTAATAAAAGTCGTTTGATCGAATGTATAATTTAAAATTCATTGTAATGTTATAATTTTATATTGTACCAATCTAAGAAAATAGACTGAAAGACACATACAAATCACAAAATGTAATTTTACTTAACAATCTAATAATTTTAGGCTATTGGAATGAAAAAAAAAAAATCAAACGAAAAACACCAATGTTTTACTTTTTACAGTGTGATTATTTGGGTTGATGATCTTATTATTGCAGCAAGTAATGATCAAATACTCAGAGATGTAAAGGAAATGTTGGGAATTAAATTCAAAGTAAAAGATCTGGGAAAACTTCGACATTTCTTAGGCATTGACTTTACGCCAGAACATGGTAAAGTAACAATGAATCAGGAAAGATACATTTTAAAGATTTTGGAGAGATTTGATATGACTCACTGCAAACCAAGATCAACCCCGTGTGAAATCAAAGTCAAATTTGACAATGAAGGTGAACCTGTTGACTTAACCCCTTAAGTGTCACGGGCCCACCGGTGGGCCCAAATCCTTTACATTTTTAAAACAGTAATATCCTATACTAAACCTAAACTAATCTTGACAAACTATATATCATTTGAAAGCTTACAATCTCTAGTTTCCATATTTGGTGATTGATTTTCAAAATAAATTACAGAGGAGCCGTAATTTATCAATTTGCAACAATAATATTTTCATACTCTTAGACCTTTATTTTGAAATAGTGATGAACATGAAAAATCATGAAAGAAGGGTAGAAATCTCAGTTTGTTTTCATGCCAAGAGTTCAAAAGATAGCATCCATTCAATTATTTAAAAAAAAAAGTCTGAATTTTTTTTTTTATATAAAGAAAAAAATTATATGATGTGGCAGGAAGCTAAAACGCACATGCGTGTTCTTTTTATGTTTCTTAGAGGTTGAAATCATATCAAAATCTGCCAAACTTCTCATATTACTTCTGAATAGGATGTCTACTTCATAAATTGTATGAAAATTGTGGAAATAATGGTTCATATCACTCAAAACACATATGGAAATGGAGGCGCCCTTATATGGGCAGTAATGGAGTCTGGTTGTCATCTAGTGAAAAAGTTTGGTACTGCGCCCAAACAAAATCTTACTGAAAGCTCATTTTTTGAGATATCAACCTAAAATTTGAAACACAACTTGTTCAGATTTTTGGCTTTGATTTTTTTGCAGTTTTAGAGTCGCCCAGGTTTTGAAAATATGTATTTTATATAAAATATGAATAATTTTTTTTTTTTACATTGTACATTTTCATAAACTCAAACTTCTATAACTTTTTTTCTGTTTCACTTTCTTAATTTATTTCACTTCTACAAAAATCTGCCAAATGTCTTCTTTAAAACAAGACCAATCTTACGTCTATATTCCAAAGCATTCTTGAATTACAACCATTTAAGTTAGAAATGTGCATTTTCATGTATATTCAAAAAAAGGGGGGTGACACTTAAAGGGTTAAAGAGGTATCGTGAAATGATTGGTAGTTTAATCTATATGATGACAAGTACACGTCCAGATTTAAGCTTCATTGTTAGTAAATTGTCACAATATCTAAGGGAACCAAAAGAACAACATTGGGTGGCTGCTAAACATGTTTTGAGGTATTTAAAAGGTACAGCAGACTTGGAATTATGTTATAAGAAAAGTGATGTAAATCTGAAACTTGTGGCTTATAGCGATGCAGACTGGGCAGCAGACTTAAATGACAGACGTAGTATTACTGGTTGTTGTTTCAGTTTATCTAAGAATGGGCCTGTGGTCTCTTGGAAGTCTAAGAAACAACAAACTGTTGCCTTATCCACATGTGAAGCAGAATACATGGCGTTATCAGCTACTACACAAGAAAGCTTGTATCTGACCAATCTAATCAATGGAATGGACAATGTTCTTGAATATGCACCAGTGACTATTTTTGGGGACAACCAGGGTGCTATTGCACTTTCAAAGAATCCAGTGTGCCGTCAAAGATGTAAGCATATTGACATACGGTTTCACTTTGTTCGATCTGTACTGAATGATGGCCAGATAATTCTTTATTATTGTCCTACAGCTGATATGGTGGCAGACATTTTAACAAAATCTGTGTCTAAAGCTAAAATGGATAAATTTATGTGTTTTTTGTTTGGAATGTAAATGAATTGATGTACAGAGATGTATGTATGTATGTGTATGACGCATTGTGTTATATTCTGTCAATTTAGGAACAAATGGGGGTGTTGATCCATGTAATTGTGTGTTCTCTAATTGACTGTGATCATGACGTGGGCGGAGTAACATGCACAGGTGTGCAATCATTAATAAAGTAGCCGCCGCTCTATTGTGAGGGTGTGCAGGCAAAACGCCAGATCATGTCTGAGTTGTAAGTTCTTCCTTCGTCATGTTACCGGTTACCTAGCTCTAACTGAGATGGCAGCGCCAACATGTTCCCTCGGTTTAACAATTCGTGCCCACGGATTAATAAACCGTACCCACGAGTTCCTAATCCGTGCTCTCAGATTTGTAAACCGTGCCCTCAGTTTTTGCAATCTGTACCCACAAATTCATAAACCGTGCCCACGCTTTCGCAATCCGTACTCGCGGGTTTGTAATCCGTACTCACGGGTTTGTAATCCGTACTCACGGGTTTGTGGCTCGTCCCCCAGAGTGTGCCGCGTGATTCAACCAGGCCTCCTGTTTAGATGCGGGATGCATTGCATTGTTTTTAAACCCCTTTTTTTTAAATGGATAATTTCTTGCATTTTCTAAAAAAAAAACTACATTTAGGCTACTTTTATCTTTAAAGTCCATTTTTTTAGAGGAAAAAGCTCAGTAGGCCTATAGTACCTAAGCGAAAATAATAATGATAATAATAATAATAACACAGTTCAAAAACTGTAAAAGATTTGGTTATAAGCTATAAATTATTTTATGTTAGGCTAAACATATTACTGTCTTCGGTGAACTCATTCATAGTAATAAACGCAAATAATAATTAGCTATCAAAATCCATTTAGGCTACATAGGCCTATTTAGAAGACGCTTTTATCCCAAAAAAAAAAAAAAAAAGAACAAAGCAATTCGTCAAATGTCAGTCTTAGACAATAATAATGGGCTAAGATTATAACAAACAAACACAGGTTTTTAACGCATATCCAAGTGTTTGTGTGGAGCGCGCACTGAGCCGCGGCCGCAAACGCTTGCATATGATGTTCCTATCAACAGTGGAACAATTTAAAATAATCTAGCATTTCTGGTCATACAGAAAAAAATACATTATACATAATACATTATTTGCAACTACTTTTATTTGTGTAAACTCACAATAACAAGAAAACGTTGTGTATTTGTAAAATAAAATAAAACAATCAGGCGCGCTTTCATGATCTCCGGAGCGCGTCTCATAAATGAACTGAAACAAAAGCCTATATAAAGCTTGAAATGTCCACTTTTAAACGAACAAATTCGAATCGAAAGCAAATACCGTCTGATTACACAATCCGAAAGCTGCATTTCTCTAAAGGTGCATCCTTTACAGCGGAGATGGAGATATGTTTAGCCCGTCACTAGAAAACTGTTCATTTAAACAATAAAAATCCATCGTTATTTTTCAGAAACATTTATTATGATTAGCCTATAAATCACCTATAAATCATCTCTCTTTATGGTTCCAGAGACATGCTCTTCTCATTTAGCACTGCGGGCAAAATATAGTTTTTAGAAAGTAAAATCTATTTTTTTTTTTCATATTAATTTGCGAAAATTTTAAATGTTTAATAAAGGCAAAAAGTCAATGGCATTTATTTTTTGTGCACAAACACTTGGATATGCGTCAAAATCTTGTGTTTATTTGTGATAATCTCAGCCCTGTATTATTGTCTAACCTGTATTATGACTGACATTTGACGAATTGCTTTGTTTCTTTTTTTGATAAAAGCGTCTTATATCTAAATATGTAGCCTAAATGTAATAATAATAGCCTAATTATTATTATTAGGCCTATTATTTGCGTTTATAACTTTAAATGAGTTCACTTAAGACAGGAATATGTTAATCATAAAACAATTTATGAATGTTTTATTTTTATAGGCCTATAACTTTGTGTTTGTGTTATATATATATATATATAATTTTTTTTTTTGTATGTGAAGTCCTTTTAAAAACAATGCATCCCGCATCTAAACAGGAGGCCTGGTTGAATCACGCGGCACACTCTGGGGGACGAGCCACAAACCCGTGAGTACGGATAACAAACCCGTGAGTACGGATTGCGAAAGCGTGGGCACGGTTTATGAATTTGTGGGTACAGATTGCAAAAACTGAAGGCACGGTTTACAAATCTGAGAGCACGGATTGGGAACTCGAGGGTACGGTTTATTAATCCGTGGGCACGAATTGTTAAACCGAGGGAACAGTTTAAGAATTCGTGAGTACAGTTTATAAACTGAGGGGACGGATTGCAAAACCGTCGCCTCGGATTGTTTTTTTTTTTCCCACAGGTGACTTCCCGGGCTCCGTACTACGGCCTACCGCGAGGGGTGAATATAACAAAATGTGCTGTATCATGATCTTGATGAACAAAGCAAAAACACTATAGCCTACCTTAAGAAGTCACTCAGTAACATTTCCACCTCTGGATGAGATCTTAAATATTTTTCATTGGCTATCCTCGTCTTGATCTGGAGTAAGACATGTTAAATCACTTACACTTAGTTATTTGATTTCGAAACATTCGCTAACAGAAATAAATCATATTTCCCATACAGCTTATTAATAAATCATATAGCCAGAGTACTCATGTAGCTAGCTATTTTCACGTATTCACGCATTCACGTACCAATACAATTTGCAGACTCGTCGTAAACAACTTTCAGCAGCCGAAAATGAAATACCTTGAAGTGATGCAGTTTCTCCTGCTGCTCGGGGCTTAAAGCGCCGACATCGAGTTTCTCCAGAGCGTTTCTCTTCGCCATGACAGCGTAGCTTCTGCGCTGTGTTGAAGCACCTGATGTTGACTTGTGTCACGAATTCTGTTGCTAAGGAACACACTTCCACACTTTCATTCATTTTAGGTGCGTTCCAATCGACCGTAAGTGGACTGCGAAGTGGACTTCACAGGGTATTTCGCCATCTTAAGTGAGATTCCAATCCGAACGAACATGTTCAGTTCAAAGGGCACTGCAAACAGGGAACATCGATACATCACTTCACAGGAAGTGGAGAGCGAAAATCAACCAACTGTCATTGTGCACCGCATCATCAGTCGGAACCATAAAGGTCGGAACTAACCATAGAGCAGAGCCGTTGGAAGAGATTTTAAATTTTAAATTCTAACGGCCCTGAGTCCACTTCAACTGTGATGTACCGTGTTCAGGGATAGGGAGCAGTGAACACTGCGTAGGGACCCTGTCGAATGGAACGCACCTTTTAATTCTAATCTAATTTGAATAAGATATGCATTTAAATAGTAGCCTACTGAATGACTAGATTATGTATTCCACCTTTGTTTACCTTGTAGCTTTACTACATGCGCACAAACAAACAAGAATTGATTGTTTAATAAACTTGATAAACAATTCATCGAGAGACTCGCACTGTGTCGTTTTTCAGGGTAACGTTACTGGCATTACTCATTTAAATGAGCAGGCTACTGACAACGCGTCATGGAAACAAACAATAAAAAGTGTTGACTTGACAAAGCTAAACTTTGATGCTCAATTGATCTCTTCAGCTCACAAACTGAGACAGATATAATGCCGTTGCCCACTGGTAAGTGATATTTTATTAGTTACATGATGCTACACAATGCTATATTATTTAGCTAGTCTTTTGTAACCATTTCTAAATCGTTCTCCTGTTCATGTAACGTTAGGCAAAGTCGTTTGGTTATAGCTAACATGCAGTTAACTACATTCATTCTAACGGCGGATTTGTCTTCTTTTTTTTCTTTTTTGCTGAGTCCTGTTATAGTGTTATTGTCAATTCAAAGAAATGTTCTTGAATCTTGAAAGCACTCTCTCTCTCTCTCTCTCTCTCTCTCTCTCTCTCTCTCTCTCTCTCTCTCTCTCTCTCTCTCTCTCTCTCTCTCTCTCTCTCTCTCTCTCTCTCTCTCTCTCACACACACACACACACACACACACACACACACACACACACACACACACACACACACACACACACACACACACACACACACACAAATCCAAGCGCAATAGTTTGGCCCGACAGATTCAGAGACTTGAGCAAGAACCATTAGCAAAGTTTAATGGCAGTTTCAGAATAACCCAAGACACCGAGTAAATAATAGCTAACGTTACAGAAAAAGACAACAGTAACAAAGTAACAAATACGACGGTGGAAAAAGATTGCCCAGAACTACAGTAAGAGTGACCTCTTGTTGTGAATATTCCACACGTAACACAAACTGAAGAGGCAGGGAACTATTGTTTCCCATTCTGGGAGGAAATACAAACTTAAAACATTTATATTAGCCTTCACTATATAATATAATAATACATTTTTAATTACTCTCTCTAAAAAGTATTGCATTACTTTATTACTTTCTAAATTCCATGCCAACATTGAGTTGAACAATACAAGGATAGACATGAAACTACTCTTTTAAATCTAGAACTGACTTAAGTATTTAAACAGAGAAGTTTACTTTAAAAACACACATTTTATAAGATAAGTTAAAATTGTATGTTAAATCCACTATTGTGTTACAGTATGCAATTACATCAGAAGTAACTAGCCTAATTAAATTACAGAAAATTATGAGTAATTTCACACTTTAATTTTTAAGGGAAAAGTAATTAAATTACAGTAATTAATTACTTAGTAATGCATTACACCCAACACTGCATGGAACCATGTCAATGAAAAATCTCCTCCAATAATGGGACGTGCAAACACAGATGTGATACAAACGTGTTGAAAGCTCTAAAGACCATTGCTGTTGATAATATACAAACAACACTGGTCTATATATAATATAATATACTATAATATAAAAACTAATATAATATGATATAATATAATATACTATAATATAAAAACTAATATAATATGATATAATATAATATAAAGCCTAATATGATATAATATAATAATATAGAGTTTATTACATGTTAATATGATAATGTGTTATTATGACTCCACGTCATGTGCTGTTGTTTGTTGGGCAGGTACAGATGCCTCCCTCAACCAGGCTGGTTTTGTTCATCAGCTGGGGCTCTAGTAGGAGCATACTTTGCACTGCTAGAAATTGAAACAAGGTAATTTAGTTGTGTTTAGTTAATAAACGGATATCTTATAGTAAGTAGTTATTTAGGTTTTTTTATGCATTAATGTGTTAAATGGACCTACCTGTTTGTCCTGCAGATGGAGAATGCCAAAATGACAAAGCTTATGACAAATGTGGCAGCAACAGCAATGGCACAATCTATAAAGAAGAAAAAAACAAAATCACCAAAATATCAAATGTATACAACACTGCAGGTTTCATGACACTTGCTTTAAGATAAACGCTTTATGAAACTACTCGGTTACTATCGTAACCTCAGTTCCCTGAGAGAGGGAACGAGTATTGCGTAGCTATACGCAGTGGGGAAACTCCTTTTCCTCGATTTACTGAAACCTATATGTAAAACGCATTTGCAGCTGCACAGCTAGCACACTGAGCGTCTGGCACGCTCATAGGCTGTGCTGCCGCAACTGCACAACCAATGGCGCGGGCGACTCTGACATACAGCCAATGAGCTAGCTCAACGTCAGAGCCCGTCAAGGGGGTGTGGTTTAGCCTATAAAAGACCCCCGAATTCGCCATTATAGCAGGTTTATACGACTGAAGCGACAACTTCACCCGTTACTAAGTGCGGCCGGCTACGCAATACTCGTTCCCTCTCTCAGGGAACCGAGGTTACGATAGTAACCGAGTAGTTCCCTTTCGAACGGTCACTTCGTATTGCGTAGCTATACGCAGTGGGGACGCCCTGTAAAACGCCGCACCCTTAGTAACTGGTTGCACTGCAACTCAGGCCCCCTGAGCTAACAGAACAAGCCAGAACCCAATATAAGAATATATATATATAACAGACCAGACACTGTCAGGCCTGAATAATATATAAGAGTCAGTAACAACCAACAGAATATACTAACAAACCCCGACACTGTCAGGATTATTAGTACAATTCATAACCAGCCTAAGCGGGTTTTATATATGTATGTATGTGATTATGCACAGTAATTTTTTGTAGACAAGACCAGACAGCATCGAGTCTTAATCATACTGAAAGAACCTTCGCCTGCAGGGAAGGCACCTCCATATTATAGAACTTCATAAATGTGGAAGGCGAGGACCAGCCGGCCGCCTCACAAATATCTTGAATGGGAAACCCAGATGACCAAGCCCATGACGAGGCCATGCCTCTAGTCGAATGGGCCCTGACACCTATAGGGCAAACCTGACCCACTGAAGTATAAGCCATAGAAATGGCATCCACTATCCATCTAGACAGTCTTTGTTTGGTAACTGGACCACCCTTAGATCGGCCACCAAAGCAGACAAACAGCTGTTCTGACTGTCTAAAAGACGCAGAACGCTCCAGATAAGCCCCTTTTCCACCGAAGCATTTTGAGAGCCGGTTCGGAGCCGGTGCCTACTCGCGAACCAGTTCTTTGTGTTTCGACAGCCAAAGAACCAGTTCTCGGCCAGGGGAACTGGTTCCAAAGCGGCACCAACTCTTTGCTGGACTAGAACCGTTCTTTTACCACGTCATGCTTACGTCGGGGGCTGGGGGCGGGGTTATTGTGACCAACAACACAACGGGATGGGAAAGGTTGTGACCGCCATTGCTAAAAACACAGCGCTAGTAAAGATAGTAACAACGATTGAAGAATGGATTCTAAAGCGAAACAGTGGTCGGTGGAGGAGACAAACTGTTTGTTAGCGATATGGTCTTCGGCAGAGGTACAGCAAAAAATAGAAGGTGCTTCGAGAACAAAACATGTGTTCGAGGAGATCCAGAGGGAGATGGCTGCAGCAGGATTTAACAGAACCATAGAGCAGATCAATAACAAGTTAAAAAAACTAAAAAAGGATTACAGGGACCAAAAGAAGGAATTGGGCCGAAGTGGTAATGGACGGCCACGCAGTAGAAATACCCATTTTGAGGTTTTGGACTCGGTCCTCGGCGACAGACCGGCGTGCCAGGTCACCGGCGCATTAAATTCAACAACTGTTATGCTAGAGTCTATGGTGGTGGATGAGACGCTGCTGCAGGGTATTGCCAACAACGTTACTGATTCTGGTAAGTTTAACTTTTCTAATGTTTCACCTTGTTGCAAACCAACTATACATTTCTTAGCTGTTTCGTTTGCAATGCTACTTATTAGTAGCGGTGCTTGCTTGAGTCAGCTAGCTAGCATGCTATTGCTAACAATAGCTAACGCAGACACTGAATAGGGTGCAATGGAAACTTTTGTGATTGAAACACTGTCTTATTTTTGTTGTTTATAGAGTTGTTGGCCATTGATGATTGTGAACCTGACCGGGAGCTACCGCTACCACTCCACTGCAGCTCACCAGTACCGTCTTGCAGCTCAGCAGCTGAAACCTCCTCATCTTCCTCTTCCAGTCGGTCAACCAGAAAGGGTAAGGATTGTTGTTATGAGTATCAACAAACTGAAATATATCAGTCTTCATTAAATAATTCACTGCAGATCTGTTGTATTTGATTAGATAGCATAAAGTGCTCAATAGTGTGTACTAGTGTACAGATATGATAGTAGATATACATTATAAGGTGTATCAGTGTAGTATTATATCATATAATATTATTTTTTTAATGTTGCATTGACTCTTGTGTCAGATTCTTTACAATTGCTAAATACACAAAGATCTGTGTTAATTTTTATGTTTTTTTTTGGTGCACAGGCAAAAGGAAACGAGACATGAATGGGGAGCTGCTGGAATATTTTGAGAGGTCTGATGAAAGGTTCCTGCAGCACTGCAAGGACATGAATGATACCTTGCTGAGGAAATTGGATGCAGACTCAAGTGCAATGCTTGGACTAATGGAGCGTATGGTCACAGTGATGGAGAGGCAACCCCACTGAATCAGAAAGAAACAATCTTGCACACTTTGCACTGCACACACTTTAATATTTTGTGATTTTTTTGTACTTGTTTTTAAATAAACGTTTTATAAAGAAACATGTCTGCTGTGGTATGCTTAATCAAGAGAGAAACAAATGCAAGTAATCAAGGTGTACGAATTTTTATTTATTTACATTTGTGCTGAAATTGTGTATTTTATTTACACACTGCTGCATTTCAGGAAACCAGAAAGAGATAACTCAGCAAGTAAACATAAAAATGTAACATCTGGTGTTATGGCAGTTTAATTATTTAACAAAAAAACACAGGTAGAATTGCAATGTATGGCAGTGGTAAGGGAAAAAAAATCAGTCATTCCCTGTACAAAAGTACTGTATTAACGCAGCTCTGATGTCAGCCCCTTCTTGATTACCATGTTCAGGTACCGCCTGGACAGGAGGCTGAATGTTTATAGGCCTGTCTTGATGCTCCTCTGTAAAGTTATCCCCATGTTCCTCACAAATGTTGTGAAGCACACAGCAGGCGAGTGTCATTTGCTTGCTCAGCTCCAGCTTGCAGTCATTTCTTTTTAGGAGGCACCTCCATCGACCTTTTAGTCTCCCAAAACACATCTCCACAACTGACCGTGCACTGCTCAGCCGGTAATTGTAGGTCCGTTGTTCATGTGTCAGTCTGCCAGTGTCTGAAAAGGGCTTCATGAGCCAGTTCTGCATGGGGTAAGCTGGGTCACCAATTAAATAATATCCAACATCACACCCAGAGATGTTCATTTTATTTTGGCCTAATAACTCCCCGTCATTTAGGACTTCCCACAAATTTGACTGTCTCAGTACTCTTGCGTCGTGAACACTACCTGGATAGCCAACGCATACATCCCAGAAAAGACCTTTGCCATCAACCACTGCTTGGAGAATAATTGAATGCCATCCTTTCCGGTTGTAATAGTCTCTAGGGTACTCCTCTGGTGCAATTATAGGGATGTGACTTCCATCTATTGCTCCAACACACTGTGGTACTCTCCAACGATTCTGGAAGAATGTGGCCAGTTCTACAAGCTTGTCAGCGTCAGGAAATGAAATGTGCATAGGAAGCAGCACCCTGTTGACTGCGTAGCAAAAGTCCTGAACACAGTTAAACACAGTGCTGAGGCCTACCCCAAAAAGATGGCTTATGGTCCTGTATTCGCTGCCGGTGGCCAGTTTCCAGATGGCAATTGCCACTCGCTTTCGGATTGTGACACACATACGGTAATTTGTGTTTTTTCTCCCCATGTCAGGCCTGAGTCGACCACAGATGTACTCAAATGACTCCCGGGACACTCGGAAATTATGCAAAAACTGTTGAGCGTTGAAATCCGGAACGATTGTGTCCCACCAGTGCTGAGATCGTGGGTGTGCCCAGACAACAGGCGGTCTCCGTCTTGCGATGTGCCGCAATACTAACGTTGCCTGTAAAGATAAAAATCGGTTCACCATTATTTTTTTGTGTTTATTTCCAATGTAATCTATAGTTAGTCTGCGCTACCGGTACATACTGTAGCTAACGTTAGCATTAGAGCTAGCGGCCTGGCATTTGCATCCAACAAGAGCTAACATCAATAATAATAAGAACCGAAACAAGTTATATAATTACCCTTCTTCTCGAACGTAACCTCCGTCTACAGTTATCCAGACGAGCAGCACAAATGTGTTCTATACGTCTTCTTCTGACCCCAATATAAGATCGCAAAGCCAGGAGAAACATTTGCAGAAATCCGATGTAGTCCGCCATTGTAACTGTTATGCTTGGAGTTGGCGCAAGCGTTTCTGGGAAGGCTAAGACGTATGGCGACGTACACAGTGACGTAATGACGTCGTTCGCTGGGCTCTTTAGTCAGTGGAAAAACAAACAGGTTCTGAGAAGGTTCGCAAGTTGAACCAACTTCGAACCAACTTTGAACCAGCACCAGTTCCGAACCAGTTCTTTTTTTGGTGGAAAAGGGGTAATAGACTCTCAGCGCCCTAACAGGGCAGAGAAGATTAACCTCCCCATCCTCGGCAGAAGGGGGAAGGGCTAATAGCGTGATAACTTGCGCTCTAAACGGCGTTGAGAGCACCTTGGGTACGTAACCATGCCTGGGTTTGAGAATGACTCTGGAGTCATCCGCTCCAAACTCCAAACATGCCGGACTCACAGAAAGGGCCTGCAGATCTCCCACTCGCTTGATAAATGCCAATGCCAACAGGAGAGCAGTCTTGAGCGAGAGTGGTTTTAGACCCACCGACCGGAGCGGTTCAAAAGGCGGCCCCTTCAGGGCCCTGAGGACCGTGGAGAGGTCCCAGGGAGGTACTGATGGGGGCCTGGAGGGGTTAATTCTCCTAGCGCCCTTCAGAAATCTTACTACCAGGTCATTTCTTCCCAGTGATTGACCAGCCACCAACGCATGATGCGCTGCGATGGCTGCCACATAAACTTTGAGCGTGGACGGGGTGCGGCCCGCGTCCAGTAGCTCCTGCAGGAAGGAGAGTACCACCGATACCTCACATGACTCTGGGTCAACTCGATTTTTCGAGCACCAGCTGGAAAAACCCGACCACTTCAAAGCATACAGACGCCTAGTAGACGGGGCCCTTGCTTCAGAGATAGTGCCTAAGACCTTGTCAGGAAGGCCCCCGGGTACCCGTTTAGGGGCCACACATGGAGGGCCCATAAATCGGGTCGGGGGTGCCATATCGTCCCTTTGGCCTGTGTGAGGAGGTCCCTCCTCATTGGAACGGGCCAGGGGACCGTGTCTGACAGCTGAACCAGCTCCGGAAACCATGGTCTGGATTTCCAGAGAGGAGCCACCAGAAGGACTGGGCATCCGCTCTCCCTGACCCGTTCGATGACTTGTGGGACCATCGAGATGGGGGGGAAAGCATAAAGGGGGCGGTTGGGCCAGGGATGGGCCAGCGCGTCCCTGTTCTTCGAGAAAAACACCCTGCAGTGGGTGTTGGCTCTCGAGGCGAAAAGGTCGATTTCGGCCTCGCCGAATCTCTCCCATATCAGACTGACCGTCTGAGGGTTCAGAGACCACTCGCTTAGGGGAGTGTTGCCCCGTGAGAGCATATCCGCGCCCAGATTTTGGACGCCCGGGATGTGCGCTGCTCTCAGGGAGCTCAGGTTGGCCTGTGCCCATAGGAGGAGGTCCCTCGCCATAGCATACAGGTTGCCCGACCTGATGCCACCCTGGCGATTTATGTAGGCCACCACTGACATGTTGTCCGTACGGACCAGGACATGGTGACCCCTGAGGTTTAACAGAAATGCTTTCAGGGCCAAACCAACTGCTTTCATTTCCAGACAGTTGATATGTAAGCTCTGCTCCGTGCTCGACCAGAGGCCGGAGGCAGGCTTGCCCTCGTGCAGCGCTCCCCAACCCAGGTTGGATGCGTCTGTAAAAACCACCTTCCTCCTGGAAACTACCCCCATGGTCACCCCCTTGTGGTACCAGTCCTGAGCCCGCCAGGGAATCAGTGCTCTTAAACACCCGTGATTCACCATAATGCGCAGGCTGCCTGACTGCCATGCATGGGTTGGCACACGGCGTTTCAGCCAGTGCTGCAGCGGGCGCATGCGCAGTAATCCCATGTGGAGTACTGATGATGCGGCTGCCATTAGACCAAGCAGTTTTTGAAACCTCTTCAGAGGCGCGTGCTCGCGCGCCCTGAATGCGGCTGCCAGTGTCTGCACAGAGAGCGCGCGCTCCTGAGTGAGCCGCGCTTTCATTGTCACCGAGTCTAAAACCGTTCCCAGAAAGACCACAGTCTGGCTGGGGTTCAGTTCGCTTTTGGCAACATTGATTGTGAGACCCAGGCATTTTAAATGGCCGAGAATCAAATCCCTGTGAACTATTAGTTCGTCTCTCGACTGCGCTAGCACCAGCCAGTCGTCGAGATAATTCAGCACACGCACACCCTGGCTTTTGACCCACGCCGCTTCTCACCGATGTCTCGATAACCGCCTGGAATTTCGGGGGCCTGCGAGCGAATTGGAGCGAGTAGCCTCGCTTTATAGTGTTTATGACCCAACTCGACACACCGGGGATGGCTTGCCAGGCCATCACCCGTGTGGCTAGGGCTTGACACACTGAATGGGGGGGACCGCCTAACATAGGGGGACCTGATACCCTTACACTGTGATTTGTGCACATACTGAGTGTTTGACTGATTATACCGGCCTTTGCCCGGGGGGATTTCAGTCTTACAACAGGGCGGGGGCCGCCTAGTGAAGGGGGACCGTGAACCCGTGTGATGTGATTGTGAAACATACTCTTTTTGTGCTTTATTTGGGTCGCCGTGAAAACGGCGTTTGTTTGCAAAGACGCGCTCACTGCTGCGGGCCTGTTTACAATAATAAAATCCCCAGCCGCCTGAACTGAACAGGGAGCTGTGGGAAGTTTTGCCAGCTTTTTCGAGGGTGGTCCGGCTAGCGCGAGACACGAGCCCTCTCTCTTTCCTCTCCGTGCTAGGACGACTTCGGAGGCACCTGGTCGGCCGCGGCGCTGGGTCGAGGGCCTTGACGCCTGGGGAGCGGGTAGCGCTTCGCGGGCCTTAGCTGGCGTTGGCTATCAGCCGCAGGGCGGGGCTGAGAGGCCTGTTTCACCGGCTTGGCTGGATGAGGCGAAGGCGGCGGCTTGGGCTTGCTGGTCGCGGAGCTCGACCGTTTCGGCAAGAAGTGTCGCATGGCCTGGGACGCTTTCTGTGCCTCTGTGTACCTCTCCGAGAATCCTTTCACCGCCGGGCCGAAGAGACCGGAGCTGGACACCGGGGCGTCGAGAAACCTCGTTCTGTCGGCGTCCTTGATCTCAGTGAGGTTAAGCCAAAGATGGCGCTCGAGCACGACCAAGCTCGCCATGTTTCTTCCGATGGCCTGTGCTGTAGCCTTAGTAGCACGCAGCGCTAAGTCTGTAGCACTCCTCAGGTCTCGAAAGGTCTCCGGGTCCGGGCCAGACTCGTCCATGGACCGGAGGAGTTTGGCCTGGTAGACCTGCAACACGGCCATCGTGTGCAGGGCCGATGCAGCCTGACCGGAGGCGGAGTACGCGCGTCCAGCGAGGGCTGAGGTGTTTCGGCAGGGTTTGTTGGGATGAGCGG